AAAAAAAAAAAAAAAAAAAGGGAACACTGAAAACACATCAGATCTCACTGGGGAAAATCTCATGCTGGATATCTATACTGATATGGACTGGGTAATGTGTTAAGAACATAAGGATGCTCCATCATTTGAATTCAATTCTCTGTAGGTTGATAATTTTCATTTCCATCAAAGACACCCGGAAAATCAAAGTGAAAAAATCATGCAGCAGGCTAGTCCATTTTGCTGAAATTTAATTGCAACAACTCAGAATGGTCCTCAGTAGTTTGTATGGCCCCCTCCTGCTTGTATGCATGTCTGACAACATCAGGGCATGTTCCTAATGAGACAACGGATGGTGTCCTGGGGTATTTCCTCCCAGATCTGGACCAGGGCATCACTGAGCTCCTGGACAGTCTGAGGTGCAACCTGTCAGTGTTGGATGAACCAAAACATGATAACCTAGAGGTGTTCTGTTGGATTTAGGTCAGGCGAATGTGGGGGCCATTTAATGGTATCAATTCCTTTATCCTCCAGGAACTGCCTGCATACTTTCGACACATGAGGCTGGGCATTATCATGCACCAGGAGCAACCCAGGACCCGCTGTACCAGTGTAGGGTCTTGACAATGGGTCCAAGGATTTCATCCCAATACCTAATGGCAGTCAGGGTGCCATTGTCTAGCCTGTAGTGGTTTTTGCGTCCCTCCATGGACATACCTCCCCAGACCAGCACTGACCCACCACCAAAACGGTCATGCTGAATGATGTTACAGGCAGCAGAACATTCTCCACGGCTTCTCCTGACCCTTTCACATCTGTCACATGTGCTCAGGGTGAACCTGCTCTCATCTGTGAAAAGCACAGGGTGCCAATTCTAGTGTTCAATGGCAAATGCCAATCGAGCTCTATGGTGCTGGGCAGTGAGCACAGGGCCCACTAGAGTGTGCTGACACAGCAAACCTTCTGGCAACGTATTGATGCGTCATCCTGGAGGAGTTGGACTGCCTGTGCAACCTCTGTAGTGTCGAGGTATTGCCTCATGCTACCAGTTAGTGACACTGACCCTAACCAAATGCAAAATTAGTGAAAAACAGTCAGAAAAGATGAGTTGGGGGAAAAAAAAAAAAAAAATATAGTGGCCTCCACCTGTAAAACCATTCCTGTTTTGGGGGTCTTCTCATTGTTGCCCATCTAGTAGTGCACCTGTTAATTTCATGAACACCAAAGCAGCTGAAATTGATTAATAACCCCCTCTGCTACTTAACTGACCAGATCAATATCCCAGGAGTTTAATTGACTTGATGCTAGACTCTGATTAAAAAGTGTTCCTTTAATTTTTTTGATTGAGATTGATATATATATAAATATATATATATCAATCACAATATGTGACTTGTTTGTTGTGGTATGGACAAGCAAGCTGTAGAACTTGTCTACAGGAGCCCAACATTGCACCCACTAGCCGCTGGTGATGGTGGCATGGCAATGCATTGCAGGCTCCATGGAGAAAATAATAAATGCATACCTTTTTCTGCAAAAGTATGGGAAATTTATTCCCCCCCCCCTCCCCCAAATATGCTACTCCAGCAATGTCCACTAGCTTCTGATCCCAGGCCGAGCGGCTGTGCTGCTGCATTCTGAACACAGTCAGCTGCTTGGTATGGGCACTATTCAATGAATGCCGAGTGATCTCTGATTAGCCAAAGACAACAATTATTTCCTGCGCATAATAATGATAGCCCAATAGGGTATAAGTACTGTTCCACTACACGTGTGGACAGGGGCAGACTGACAACTCATGGGGCCCCCGGGCAATAGGGGATCATGGGGCCCCTGTGTCCTTGCCCACACTCAAAGCACACCCAAAAAAGCCTATAAAAGGTAACGGGGCATTTCATGGTGCCCTTTACTGACCAATGCCCGAGTGCTCGAATGGTCAGTCCACCCCTGCATGTGTATAATCTTTTGAAACCTTGCTGCCCTCCAGGACTGAGGATGTTCATGGCCACTAGACCAATCAGACCAAAAGGGAGAAAATGGGAGATGTTCAATGTCAGGGTTTACATATACTATAAACAATTAATATATTTACACATTTAAAAAAAAAAATCTTTAGTAGTACCTTGTTAATATATGGCATCATTGTTCTGAATGTGTATGTGATCCAGCAAGAATGAATGCTTTTGGGATAATCTGATATATGATTATGACTGTATGAATGTGATCGATGTCGGTAACTCACCGATCGCAGTCTATCTGTTGACTTGCAGGCGACAGGTAGACCGCAAACAGGTCCCTGTGCCGCCGACCCCTGCCTTTTAGGTGCTGGTCCTTCTTCCCCCAGCTTCCTCCACTGCTGTCATCCTCAGTGCGCAGAGGAGAGCAGGAGGCAGCCAAGCTCAGGACGGAGGGGAAGCTGGCAAAAAGAACTTTTCAAGGTAACCCATAGGTGATTGGTTTGCCAAGGCAGTCCTAGTAACCAATCACCAGCTTGTTCATATGAAAAGTCATTCTTTCAGCTCCCGCCCTCCATCCGGAACTATGCTGCCTTCCACTCTCTCTGTGTACATAGGTAGGATACTGCTTGGGACACTGCTAAGGGGGGGAGGCAGAGGACACTACTGGGGGGAGGTGATTGGGGGGGGGGGGGGGGGGGGAGTAAAATACAAATCCCCAGCCAATTGCTGGGAATTCAGATTTTTAACTGCTTCCCACCTAGCCTATAGTACTATGACGTCTTGTGACATCCTCCCATTCTTGCCACACATGCACCCCTGGTGATCGGTGGTGCTCTGTATCCTCAGAGACAGCGGATCACCGATTGTGGTAAACAGCAGATGACGCAGGCTCTTTACCATGTGATCAGCAATGTCCAATCACAGCTGATCATGTGTAAACAGGAACTGCTGGTTATCTTCACTCCTCTCGTCACAGTGCAGCAATCCTCAACGACACTGATAATCAGGGTACTGACCATCAATGCAGCCTCTTCAGTGCACATCAGTGAAGGAAAAAAAAAAAAAACTACTTATTTACAAAATTTTATAACAGAAAAACACAAACTTTTTTTTTTAAATTTACGGTCTATTTTCATTTGTTTAGCAAAAAATAAAAACCCCAGTGGTGAGTAAATCCCACCTATAGGTCTAAAAAAAAAAAAAAAAAAAAAAAAAAAAAATGGTGAAATTTTTGTTTGAGTCCAGTGTTACATGACCACACAATTGTTACTCAAAGTGCAACAGCGCTGAGCGCTGAAAATTGGCCTGGGCAGGAAGGGGGTAAAAGTGCCCAGTAAGGAAGTGGTTAAAATACCTGTCTTCAAACGATCCCATTTTATTTTCCTCCTGCATCAGCTGAAAGCCAGCATCTCCTCCTCCCTGACACCAACGTGCAGCTACTGCAGGAGGAAGATCTAGGGGGTCTGTTCTAGGACATGCCGCCCCTGCTAACCCTCCTGTCCTTGTTCTTTTTTTCTGCTACCCAGCCCCCTGTGTCCACCCCTTTCAAACAGGCTCCTAAACAAATTTGTAAAAAGTAAAAAATCAACTGACACCGTCCACTTTTAAGGTAGGCTAAGTTTGTATTTTTACAGTGACATTTGTTTTGGTATATTTTTCTACAGTTTCCTTACTATTTAATTAGGCCTTGCTAGTTAATTTCTTTAAAAAAAAAAAAAAAAAAGGCACTGAACCCCGGTTACCTTTGATCTTTCATGTTTTGTTCAGGTAGATCTCCTACCTCTGCATTAGATTATATCTTATTATACTGGGAAATAGAAAGCTTGCACAAGATTTTTTTAAAATGACTGTAGGGAGCACAAATATGGAAGCATTGATTTATAAAGGGCTCTAATGGAGATGATCTCTAGAAATTTCATATAGCATGTTGGGGTGGATTTACTAAAAGGCAAATAGACTCAGCACTCAAGTGCAGTTGCACTCATTTTCCCCAGAATTTAGTAAATATGGTAAAGCTCTGCGGATTTCTATTATCCAATCATGTGCAAGCAAAATGTTTTTTTTATTTTCTCTGCACCTGATTGGGTAATATTTACAAAGTAACAGTATTTGCCATTAGTAAATCCACCCTGTTAAATCTCCAGTCTATCTTCTAAACCATTTTCATTGATTTGCATTAACAGCAGCACAGCCGGGTGCCCAAGAACATTGTATCGGACATTTTCAGCGATGTTGGTGTTCTTGTAAGCATTTTGAGATTTACCAAAATTAAAAATGATGTGAATTGACACCAATATGTATCAACCCCAGGGGATGGAATCACAGCAAGCACACAATGAAAATCAATCTGCCTCCATTACTAGAACCAATAACATTTATTATACTGGAACTGGAACACTCCAAATCTGGTGCAGCTGTGCATGGTAGTCAATCTGCTTCTAACATCAGCCTGTTTAATTAAGCTTTGGCAATAAAACCTGGAAGCTGATTGGTTTCTATGCAGCGTTGGACCAGATTTTGCAGAACAAAAATGCTGCTCAGTGTGAGCAAGCCCTTGTGGGAACCTGTAGACACAAGAGAGGGGTCCAGTCATTCAAGCACAGACTACAAGTGACACCATCATCATTCAGCCCAATCTTCTTATTGAAAACTTTTAACATATTACATGACTTACACACAATGAACGAAAATAAAAAAAAGAACGAAAAAAAAACCCACAGTGGTTGACATGCATTATATCCTCGCAGGGGCGGAGTAATGTAGAACGTCACATCCAGCAAAATATACAAATGAAAAGGTAACATAGAAAAATCTATCTGAAAAACTACCATAGATGCCTGGATGGTCACCGCTAGAGATGAGCGAATTATTCAAAAATTCGATTCGGCTGATTCGGCGAATTCGCGGAATAAATTCGATTCGAGTCGAATATATTCGCTGCGAATTTAACATATAAAAAGGGTGTTTCTAGGCTTCAGAGAGCCTTTATATTAGTGCAGAACACTGTACCTTTAATTTAAATGCCCTTGGAGTCTGCTGGGGAAGAGAAATAATACTGTCAGTCAGTATGACATGCAGATGAGTGCCGTCGATCTTAGAATCACCGCACACTTCACTCATTTGGGCAGTCACGGGGCCAAAACCAGAGTGTGGAGCCACAGTGTGGCGGTGGAGGCAGCAGCAATGGGAGGCCATACAGCACCCTATGACAAAAATGGAACCCACCAGCAGTGTGAGGAGACCTGAAAGTGGCACATGGCAGAGTGTGGCGATGGAGACAGCAGCAATGGGAGGCCGTACAGGGACCCATGACACACTCTCTGGACCTGAGGGCAGCAGCATGAGGAGGCAGCAGGTACGGTACGGGGGCCCATGACAGATTACGGGCCTGGCAGCAGCATGAGGAGTTGGTACGGGGGCCCATGGCAGATTACGGGCCTGGCAGCAGCAATGGGAGGCCATACAGCACCCTATGACAAAAAGGAACCCACCAGCAGTGTGAGGAGACCTGAAAGTGGCACATGGCAGAGTGTGGCGATGGAGACAGCAGCAATGGGAGGCCGTACAGGGACCCATGACACACTCTGGACCTGGCAGCAGCATGAGGAGGCGGTACAGGGGCCCATGACAGATTACGGGCCTGGCAGCAGCATGAGGAGTCGGTACGGGGGCCCATGGCAGATTACGGGCCTGGCAGCAGCAATGGGAGGCCGTACAGGGACCCATGACACACTCTGGACCTGGCAGCAGCATGAGGAGGCGGTACAGGGTCCCATGACAGATTACGGGCCTGGCAGCAGCATGAGGAGTCGGTACGGGGGCCCATGGCAGATTACGGGCCTGGCAGCAGCAATGGGAGGCCATACAGCACCCTATGACAAAATGGAACCCACCAGCAGTGTGAGGAGACCTGAAAGTGGCACATGGCAGAGTGCGGCGATGGAGACAGCAGCAATGGGAGGCCGTACAGGGACCCATGACACACTCTGGACCTGGCAGCAGCATGAGGAGGCGGTACAGGGGCCCATGACAGATTACGGGCCTGGCAGCAGCATGAGGAGTCGGTACGGGGGCCCATGGCAGATTACGGGCCTGGCAGCAGCAATGGGAGGCCCGTAATCTGCCAGCACCCTATGACAAAATGGAACCCACCAGCAGTGTGAGGAGACCTGAAAGTGGCACATGGCAGAGTGTGGCGATGGAGACAGCAGCAATGGGAGGCCGTACAGGGACCCATGACACACTCTGGACCTGGCAGCAGCAAGAGGAGGCAATACAGGGGCCCATGGCAGAGTGGCGAAGCGTAAGCAGCTTAAATTGAAGGCCATACAGAGGCCTATGTTAAAAATAATAACATGTTTGGGGCATGATTCATGGCGGATTTAGTCAGTTGTGTCAGGAACTGGTGGTTTGAAATCCAGACTAATCCACGCCTGATTCATTTCACAAACGTGAGTCTCTCCACACTTTGGGGTGGACAGTCGTGTCCTCCGCAGAGTTGCCGGGCATGACAGCCT